CCGGAGGAGCGGGAGCGCAGTCAGGCGAGAGGGGAGGCGCAGCTGAGTATTGCTGCGTGACCATCGCTGTCCCAAAGCGCTACGCCAGGCTACGGGAAGCAAGGAAGCGGGAGAGGAAAAACTAAAACATCGAGAGCCTCTTCTAAAGCTGGAATTAGGGAGCGGAACCCACTGAAGCTGCTGCAATATTTAAGAGTGCTTGCGTATTGAGTGTGAAAACAGGCAGCTAAAGAGCCTGTTTCGCCCCCCAAAGCAAAAACCTTCCTGGTTTTCCAGTTTGCTTCTTTGAAGAGCAAAAAGGGCATAGAGTAGTAACCAAAAAAGGGGGAAAAACCTACCACAGATTTTTAAGAGCATGCTCGTGAAAATCCTGAAAGAGCTTCCCGTTCTCTCACTGCATGTTGTTTCAGCTCCGGGGCTGCGCGAGGCTGCGACGGGCAGCGCCTGAGCCCGTCAGCACCTTCCGTGGGTCTGGCGGAACGTGGCTGCCTGCGGCCCACCGTGCACGGCCGCGGCGCTCGCCGGAAGACGCCCAGCGCACGTGGAGCCAGCTGACGACGGTGCGAGCGCCGCAGGCGCTCCCAGCCCAGCCCAAGGGGACCCAGTAAGGGGGGAAAAGCAGAGGAAAGCAAACGAGGCTCCAGGGAAATTAAGGCAAAGTGGAAGTCCTGGCAGAGCGAGGTACTAATTTCCTTTCTGAATGAGTAACTGTTTAGAATTTAACCAGGCGAACACGATTAAACCAAATGAATATAAATTCTAGGTGCGGTAGTAAGTAATGAAGCGAAGAAAATGAACAGCGCCTAATTAACAAGAAAATAGGATCTGCCATAACGTGTTGGGATCTAATGAAAAATGAAGGGCCGACTTCTCCTTTCAAAGTTTCTCCAGATGGAAAATACCCCCGTTTTACAACTGGCATCTTCGGAAACATCCAGGGGATAACAGTCGCTGGCAAGAACGGTGCTTGATCGAGTGCCGGGGTGGGGGGAGCTAATTTGGCACAATACTTGGAGAAGGAAAGGAGCTGGGAGCCGACCGCCCGGCGCTCTGCCCAAACACGGACCCCAAAGTGCCCCCTTCACGTTAGACGGAGGAGCACCAAGCAGCCCTCCCCGGGCAGCCTGGCTGCGGGAGGCCGCTGTCGGGGTGGCGGGCC